TTCTATTCTAAATACTAGACTTTTCTGAAGAGAAGAGCTCTACAAAATTTTTGTTATACTTTCCTGAGGGAATCGAGGTGAAATCGCATGCACGAGGCGTAAAAAAAACTCGCTTGGTTGGTAAGCGAAAAAAAAAAACTCATCTACGAGTGTTTTGATGGTGCTTTGAGAAATTGCGTCACGTCCATCGACTCGAAACTGTCGTGCTTAACTTAGTCATGTTTTTAAACGTTAAATTTTCTTACATTATTCTCTTTTCTTACGTTTGAAAAAGGAAATAGGTTAAGGGTGATATCAAGACATAATACAATATTCTCAAAAAAGAATTTTAAAATTACAATAATTATAATAACCTATAATCGTTTCAAAATTTATTTCCTATCGAAAATTAATATTATATTAATATTATATTCAAGATCGACACAAAAAATTGTTTCGTACATCGTTTGCAGTACGGGGGTGATTGAACGAGAAAATGTTTTTGTGAAAAATCGTTCGATATCGGAGAATTCGGTTCACAAATGATTTTGACACGATCCGATTTCGAAGAGCGGTTAATCGCCAAGTCCCATTTAGATTTCTCCTCCACTCGAAAAACAGGTCAGGCACACTTTGCCCACTCCAGTGGCATTCACCGGCATGAATGGCCACTTAAATAAGATCCTGACGATCGAATCCCGGGAATCTGGTTTTGCGGAACGGGATCGCAACCAAGCTTCCGTACTTCGTTATTATCTCTCTTTTGTAGCGTTAGCCGAAGATAAACCGCTCTGAGTCGAGCGCTAAAGGCAAAGAGTATGCGTGCGTATGACTTGCGACGATGGCACGCGATCCTTTTGCGTTTTAAAACGTACATGTATTACTCCTCGCGTTTTGTTCAAAAGATTTCAATTATTTGTAGATTTTGATTCAAGGTATTCAAGGCAGGAATTTTTTAAAATTTCAATTATTAATATTTATTATATTTTGTAATATATGTATCTATAATTAAATAATTGAAAAAACAATATTTTTCTATACAATTATAATTTTTATATTCAACATCCAACATTATATTCTATGTTTGAAGAAAATTAATTTATTAG